GTCATCTCTTCGCTTCATGTTGATGTCAAGGAAATTTAGTGTGTTCCATTGTGAAGCGAATATTTGGATGTAATCTCTTAAGTTCATCCAAAATTGCTGTAGCCTCTTCTAGGCTTTCTGTTATCACAAGAGTGTCGTCGACGTAGCGTTTGTACAGGGTTGCACGTTCCAGAATTTTCTTTGCCTTGTGTTCGAGATGTGCCATAAACAAGCCTGCCAAAACTGGGCCCAACGGGCTTCCCATAGTGACACCGTCAATTTGCCTATACGCATTTCCTTGAAACGTTAGGGACACATCGGTTGTGCAGAGTAGTAATAAACGTTAAAGGACTGACACTGGTAGGTTCACTCGGAATTGATGATCCTCTATAAGATCGCAAAAGATTTTTATGGCTTCATGGGACTGGCACATTAGTAAATAGGGACTGGACATCGAATGAAGCCATGTATTTTCCTTCAACGTTTATCTTGTCCAAAACGTTGATCAATTCGAAACTGTCCATGACGGTATATTTCACCATTGATCTGTGAACTGGTTCTAACTCCTTGACCACCTTTGGCCATTTTGTGCTGTCGTCCTGGACATAAATCGTGCAGTATTGCAATTTGGTACTAAATTGAGTCGAGTACTTGGATAATCGTGGTTCTCGTCCTTACATTCGAAAGTAATTTCTACGAAACGTCTACTCGCCTCCATCGTGACACTGTATACTGCACATTGCTATATTCTCCAACTCCAGCATCTGCTAGCAGCTCCATGTGGTCCACTTTGGTTCTTTTCGGATGGTTAGAATTCTCGGCAAAATTGAAGGAACAGAAACGGACTAAAAGAAGATAAATACTGCGAGATGTTAACATTTCTTTTAATCTATTCAGTCGCTACAACGTAAAACAATCTGGCATTTATAGAAGCAAGTTTTGATAACTAAGTGGTAAAACGACAATATTCAGGGAAGCGGGGGAGATGGTGGGGTAGGAAATCAGGCCCATGGCAGTCTAACTGATGAGTAAGAAACTTTTGTGCACATAAAATTGGGTTACGTAACTTTATTAGCATTGCCTCACTAAACGCCAAAATCCTGGGGTTCAAGTTACGTAATAATGGCTCGAACGACATTTGTGGGTCAACGATGTGTACAGTTGCCATGACATGTTTTGCGATTGATGACCCTGGATTTCTCTTATCGGTTGGACCTCTCAGACATTGAAAGCAATGTTTTCCCGTCACAAATTTGAATAGACCATTTGGGAATGTGTTCAGACATTCTTAGTGCCATGGGCCGATTCGTTCTGCCGATGTAAGTGTCACCGCAACTGCAGGTGAACTGGTAGGCGATATGTGAAGCAAAATTGTTCGGCTGTTTCTGTTTTCGACTGTCTAAACGAAGTTCTTGGGTATACGGTATCAATCGAAGTTGTGCGGCAGGAAACGTTCGACACAGTGCCGCCTTGAGCTTTTGACGCACGTCGTTCATAATATGATCACCTTTAAAGGCGAGTCTGAAGAAGACACTGTTCTTCGGTACTTCGCAGGCGAGATCAACCGATGTCTTTCGCCTGCTATGCACATCAATAAATTTCTCTGGATAGCCATTGTCCAGGAGCGTCCTTCGCAGAAAGGCCTCTTCTTCTTGGAAAGTGTCAGGAGAGCATATCTTCCAGGAGTGATGGAATAGAGTCTTCACCAGACCTCCTTTGTGAGACACAGGAGCGAAACTGGCAAATTGTAAGTATTGCCCACTCCATGTAGTCTTCCGGTAGACGGATCTTTGCAAGGTTCCATCTGATCGCCTCCTAATTTTTGTCTAAAAATTCCAAACAACCGTCCTTTTTCTCCTCAATGGAAACAGAGAGATTGGGATAAATAGTATTAAAAAGTGGTAAAATGGTGTTAAATGTTCGGAGTCGGTAAAAATCAAAATAGCATCAACATAACGTTTGTACAAAACAGCCATTGAAATATTATCATTCTGGAAAGACAATTGAATGATATATTTATATAAATATCAACTCTGAAAATGTTTCTTGAATATACTCTATATTTCAAGATCCTGTGTTTATAACAAAACGTAGACGTCAAACATCGGACAAGGACAGGAAAGAAAGGCATTCCATGCACTTAGATAAATTGAGAGCCAATCCAAATCGAATCAGATTGCATGAGAGATTTTACAAGTCCTCAGCAACGGAATTAGTTTTGATAAGTAATGTTGAATACTTTGGTAGGTTCTACTAATGCAGATGGCAAACAGAGCGAAACACGATTGCAAATTCTATGAAAACATCATAAATATTTGTCGCATGCCTCTATGCATTTCGGTAAACGATGAACTAGCAATGTGGTATCACGTGACTTAAATCGATTTATTTTACGCGCAAACGTATCACTTTTCAGAGACATTGCTACCCTTACCGGCAAACCTACAATTAGAATCACCTCAATCAAAATCGATAGCAAACTTCACTGGTCTACACATATTTACAACTGTATGGGAAAACTAAGACGCTTCTTTTTTTAGTTACACAACTTCAGGCAACTTTGAACACCGAGGCCAGCCTTGTCCTCTTTCATTCATCAAAGCGTTTTACTCATTCTACTCTATTACTCCACTGCCATGGTTCCTGGTATTTTAAATAAGACCTCAGAGTGATTCGTGATGTTTTGATTTTCATCAGTCGTGCATAATTAATTCCGATGGATGCAATAATCACAGAACTCATTGATGGTTACATCAAATCCTGTGTTAAATTTGCCCATACGATTCTAGAAGACACTCTTCATCCACTGTATCATGATCTATCGTCTTGTCGTTCCCATCCGTCCACACGTTCATCATTAACATTTATAAAAGTTCCCCTGTACACTACCTAGTTTGGCTCCTTATCAAAAAGGAAGAGGTCGCCAGTGAAAAACGCCAACATTTGTGTACATGAAACAATGTTCAGCGACATTCTAGACCTTTCGTGTTATATTTCATTATTATTTTTATTATTTCATTCCGAGTGACGAACAGTGTAAAGCTTTTACTGAAATGTAGGCATATCTGTTACATAAGTTACACAATTACAATACAATAAAAAAGACGCAATGAAATGTGGGATAATAGAACCTCCCGTCCTTTTAAATATGCAACATCTATTGGTAATTCGTCAAAATGTTCGCTTAGATTATTTGATTACCGAGGTTTCGAAATTGAGGACATTCTAACGGGTCCGTAACAATCAGAGCTGAAAGAATTGTGAAGGATGTGCAAAGCGCAGCACTGAATGAGTCCATGAATGAAACAGTGTCCAGGTTTAGCGTGGATGGTAGTAGTCCCTAAGG